AGAGAGAGAGAGAGTACCTTTTCCCACCGTGGGCTGATGGTTGAAGCACTGATAGAGTACAAATAACCTGCAAGCAAGTGCTTAGTAGAAAAAGAAGAGAAGTTTTGAAATGCAACACCAAAAGAAAGATATAACTTGAAAACCTTAAAAAGAGAACAAAGAAAAACAACGGCATGTGAATTAGCTAATTGGTAATCCCATAAAAATATAATAAAGAGATATTTCATTTTATCTTGTTTTGTTTTAAGCCTCCATGGTAAGCCGAAACAAGTGTGGCTCTAATTGAATGAGAAATAGAAAATAGAACAAAATCATTTAAAAAGTAGCTTCGAAGCACTTTGTATGAATATACAGAGGACAGTCTCATATTAGATACACCAAGTTAGAAATAATCTATACCAATGAAATAAAATAGAAGATATACCATCTCTTTCAGCTGTTGAAGCAAGATAATGCCGGTAAGTGTTTGATTCATCAGTCTGTACAAGCAGGGTTTATAAATCAAAAGTCATTACACATACCACATCTTTCCATGAAAAAAAACTTCTATCAAAAGGCAGTACTTACTAGTCTCAAAGGTGCTTTACGAACAAGGTATTCATAATACCAGTACTTCTCACCATCAATCTGAGGAGAAGCAAATAAGCTCACTATGCATAAACTTCAACCTAATATATATATATATAGGGAGAGAGAGAGATCAAATATTGGAAACAAAGAAATAAAGATTGTTTTATGACGCTTACTTCACTAGAATGGGTATTGAGAACCGAACTCTCTTCTAAACGCTGAGTTGACGTAACTCGCTGCAAAATCTTGTTATCAGAATATGCAGCAGAGGTAAACTGTATTTTAACATCTTGGAGCACCATTTCTCGTTTGTAGTCAGTGAAAATCCTCAAAACAGAGAAGATTAATTTAATTTATAACAAAGTGTTTTACATACCATCCAACATTTATGACCATATACAACTCCCTGACTTCCAGGTAGGGATAATCCCTATTAACTGGTGAATGATAAATCTCTGAATTTTAATCAATACTCAGAACATTAGTAGTGGCATCTTGTGGTTTGAAATTATTCAAGAAGATTACAATTTTTTGTTTCTAATAAGAATAGTGTTAACACAAAAGCCTTTATTAACAAAGGAGTGGCCAGTTACCAGTGAAGATCTGTCAGCTAACACTGAATCAGCAACATCTTTTGCAGTCCATGTACTCTTATCCTTTGATTTTATATAGCTTGCATTTGGTGGACCTATCTGAATTTAGTATAAAAAACATGAATAGATAACTAAAACTCCTTCAAACAAGTATTAGGTTGAGAGAATACCGTGACAGAAATGATGACATTATCAATAAAGTCTACACGCTCGGACACAATGCGCAGGCGTGCATCAGCTACATGAAATTACACAGAAATTTTTATCCATAAAAGGAAAATTATGAAGCAAGCATCCAGTATCTTTATGCACAAGATCAATATTCACTAGTGAAAATTTCTACCATTCAAACACTTTAATCACAGAGCTGGTGGCAGTTGTTTTGTAACAAGCTCACAATGAAACATGACCTCTATCCTGAATTATTTGATGAGAGATTTTTGCCTAGCAAAGGAAAAGAGAAACTTACGAGAAAGTGGTGCAGCTGATGAATATCGCTCTGGCTTTCGGGATTCTACCCTTTAAATATATGGAAAGAGTTAGCTTATATAATGATTAAGGAAAAATTCCAGACAACTAGTGGAGATGTAAGCCAAATATAGGAATCTTAGATGCACTAGCACTAAGTTCTATCGGATCAAGTTCACTGAACAAATTAATGTCTTACTGACATTATTAAATGTAGTAAAAAACATTAGATAAAGTTGGAAGTTGAAACTACCCTTATCATTTTGCTTACTATAAATAAAGATATATATAAAATATGAGAAGTGCTTGTAACATATTTTCTAACACAACTTCTAACACACTTCTACAGAAAAGTATAAAATCGTAAGATTCCCTAAATAATATGTAAGACTCGCATTTTTTTGTGATTTCTAATTCTAATAAATTGTAGTGAATAGTAGTATGTTGAAAAGAGTGTTGCTAGCATTCTCATAACATGCATTTACTTGGCATACCATTTGAGGGAAATATTGTTGGAAGGCGACTCAACAGGGTACAGATAAGAATAGGCGTTTATTTCATCTAAAAACGAAGCCATTGTGGGCTCTTCTTCAGCAAGAGCCACTGCAAGACATAAAGAACAATGATAAAGCAAATGTGACTCAGTTGCATCACATAATAAAACACATGTCAAATGAAATCACACTAGTTCTCATAATCTCATCAAGCAGAAAATTCTCAGAGAGAATGCAAGAGAGGTACCTGAAAGTGGCCATCTTAGAGAAACCGAAGTCAAGCCTAACAACACCAAATCCCTTCTAAAAACCCTGTTTTGCGAAGTGGGTTTTAGAGCACAACATGAAAAACGTAGTCTTTCCTTTGATAATGGGAAATTGTGTGGGTTAAAGATAGCCCTGTTGTTGTTTCTGATTAACAAAAGCAAATGGGTTTAGAAAAAAGAGAGCAAATATGAACATAAACTAAAATTATTGAAAAGGGTTATGCAGAAGAACCTGAAGATAAGGTTATTAGGAAGAAGTGTAGAAGTGGGCAAGAAGAAGGAAAGGGAGAGAGAAGAAGAAGGTAAAACCATTGGTAGCTCTCAGTTGTGTCATCCACCACCACACTGTAACATTATCTCACTTTCAACACTTCCCTTTTATTACAACTTTTTTCTTCTGACATGTTCTTAGCAACACACGGGGAAATAGTTCACAGTAATATTTATCAGATACTATTATTTAATTTAGTTTGCATTTTTTTTTAAAATAGTGATAAAAATCAATTTAAATTATTATTTTTTCATTGTTTAACTTTATATCAACGTTTGGATACAAATGCTTTTGCCATAAATATTT